TGCTTGTGTTATTTGTTACCTTTTTATTTCTTCTTTTTATAGCATTTCCTTTAGCATTTCTTGCATTGCTAGTTTGGTAGTGATAAAGATATTCTACTCTGAACCTGCACATAATAAAGATCACTTCTAACTAATTGGCTCATTAAGGCATCTCCTATCTAGCTGATTTATGGTACAACAAAATACTTTGCCATCTCAAGATATTGAGCCTAACTCAAGACAACTGTGAAGGGCTATTCTATCTCTAGACTGTCCTATGTGGTTCACCAAGTCCTTGTCTGACCAGTCTGTCCAGTCTTGCTCCCTTCTCAAGCTTTCTATGGATCTATCTCCCAAAGGCACTTCCTAATAAACATCCTCCTGCACACTTAACTGTTTTAGTGTCACCTTTCTGATGAACCTAATTCATAAGAGACAATAAATGCTTATATCTGGTCCATTGACTTTAACTAGAAGTATAACTAATCATTATTTATTTAATTTTCCAGAAATGTACTTAATATTTGTTCTTGTTTATATAGCAAGATTGGGACTGTTTATTTTTGTTGTCCCTCTTAAATCTCATGTAGGCTCTGAGCTACAGAGCAGTGCCAATCTTGAAACATCAGAGGCCTGATTTTATGATGCTCTCAGCCAAATATTTTAGTTATTAGTGAAATTAAGTTACTCCCTTAAAAACTGTTCAATAACTTGAAAGTACTGTGTGACTGTACCTGATATTTTGGAAGGTATTTCATCATCTGGTCATTTGGAGTGTTCAAGTACTTTGGAAAATGTCATCTTTGAAATTTCAGTAGTGGAAATTACTCAGATCCTTAGATCTAGGGTGTCTATAGCAACCATCGCTGTGTGTGTTCCTTAAATTGGATTATGTGTCCAAAAAGTCAGTCTTCAGCTTTCACTTTCACTTCTCCTGCATCATCATGTTCTACTTCTGCATTTCACTTTTTAAGCTCCTCTCGTTGCCCTAAAAGTTCAAGCTCAGCCGTGTCTGTGGCTTCTTTGAAGATATTCCTTTTCCCCTCAACCTTTTCTTTGATTATGGCCACCTGAGAACAGAGATGCCATATTTTCTCTCCAGAATTGTGTAGCCATCACATGCCCTGGGGAGCTTGTCTTAATGGGTACAGTTTCTGTGGAACAATATGGCTTGCATGAATTCTTTTATGGCTTTAAGAACTATAAGAAGCCATTTCCATGTCTACTTGAGTTTTGTTGGTTCACTCTAGGAAGTGATCTGACCTTGGGGTCAAATATCTATTCATATTATGAATTATTGATATTGTTGTGCTCATTTTCGATTGTTTTATAACAAGTTACTACACATTTAGTAGCTTAAAAGAACACACATTTTTAAAAAAAGAATACACATCTATTAGTTCACAGTTTTGTGGGCCAAAAGTCCAGGTACAGCTTAGCTGGATCCTTCACTCAGAGTCTCACTAGGCTGCAGTTGCAATGTTGACCAGGATTCTTTTAAACAATATATATATTTTTACTAAAGGCTTGTTGCACGAAGAGATCCATGCAATAGGCTTCCCTTCTCTTGGTTTCCAGCATCGGTTTTCCTCTGGCACCCAGGACCCAGGCCTTTGCTCTGGCCAGAGTCTGCTTTCTCTATCTTTGCTACAGACTTTGGCCAGAGTCTGCCATCTTTGGCTGTAGGCTGCCATCTTTGTCTTTGCTGCAGACTCCGGAGTCTGCAGTCTTGTCTTCACGGCAGCACTCGACTCCTGTAGATCCCTTCACCCCCCCATTCTCCCTCTTATAGCAGGCCTTCTGCCCCAACTGGCCACTCCTTGCCTGCAGCAGCTGGGCAGCTGCCATCTTTGGCCTTATAATTTGCATACTCACTCTGATTGGCTGTGGGCATAGTTGGAGGTATAGTCAATTTACTTGTTTGTCTATCATTAGGTAAGATTGATTTCAGAGAGGAAGGGAGAGAGTGAGATAGAAACATCAATGATGAGAGAGAATCTTTGATTGGGTGCATCCTGCACACCCCCTCCTGGGGATTGAGCTTGCAAACTGGGAATGTGTATTTGACTGGAATCCCCTTTGGAACTATTCTAGGCTGTCAGTTTCATCAGTCTTTTAAAAAAAATTTAAATTTATTTTATTTTTAATTTATCTTTATTGTTGAAAGTATTATAGATGTTCCCATTCAGTTCATAGGACAACACTCTATCCACTGAGCCAAACTGGCTAGGGCTAGGCTGCATTCTTTGCTGGAGTTTGAAGTACTCTGCCAAGGTCACATGGTTGTTGGATGAATACATTTCCTTGTGGTTCTAGGACCAGTTCATGTCTTTTTACTGGCTTTTTGGTCACCTACAGTTCCCTCAGGTCCTTAAGGTCACCTACAGTTCCCTGCCATGTAGCTCTCTCTATGAAGTTACAATATGACTTTTCAAATATCAGCAAGAGGATCTCCCTAGTGTTTTCTAGCGCAATGGACTTCTATCTTCATCATAATGCAGTCACAGGTGTGACATCCTGTGTAACCTTCATATTTTATTGGTTAGAAGCACATATTCCACCCCACACCCAAATGGAGGGGAATATGCATGGGCATGACTCATTGGGGTAGGCTTAGAGGGTGTGTCCATTACAGCTGTCAATGAATACTAGCTGTTCACCTTTATTCAAATCTGAAAACTCTTCCAGAAAGATACAGATAAGATTCCATGTCTTGTCTGTCATCTCTCATATCTATCCTTAGAAGCCTGGCTATTGTTCAGAAGAAGCTTTACAGCTAATTCTTCTTGATGGATTCCAACACCTCAGCAATATGTCAGAGGTGCTTGAATCCATGTTAGATTAGGTGAATTTGTCTTCATATCTATTGCTTCCTCTGGGGCAACTCTTCTTTTTGACAAATCAAAAGTCCACCTGTGTTACGGTGATCAAGTTATACTTCTGCCTGTCCTTCCCACAGACAGTGCACTCCTGAGGGAGGGTAGCAGGCAAGGACCAGTGTGCCTTCTTAATCCTCATGTAGTTCCCCCCCCCTCACCCCCGGGCCTAGATAAGATGGGACTCGGTGCACAAAAGAACCACCACAGACATTTTTAGAGGCAGGAACAGTGTGTGGCTTAGCCTCATTCTTCACATTGATCAAACCTGGGGTATACTGAATTATTTTTTCTTAATGGCTTTTTGGTAAGGATGAGAATATAATTAGGTCCTTAGTTTACAAGCACATAGGAGGCAACTACTGCTATGAGAAAGTATTACATATCCCAATGAAAGAGGAAATAAGAGTAAGAACAACTTTCTGAACACCCACTGGAATATTTATTTACATTGGGCTCAGAGATATTAGGCCATAATTTTGGGAGGAAAAGAGCAAGACCCCGAGTAGCCACCAATACAAGGGAAGGGTCGGGATGAAGAGAGACAGCTGAGGGGCCACCTGGAGTCTGGCAGCTTGGACCCTGGATTGGGGCTGACCCACCTTGAGGGGCTCAGTATGCTCTGGCCTGGGGATAGCAGGCATAGGCTGGCCCTTCCCAGTGGGACACCAGCCAGGCCTCAGTGTTAATAGCTGCCCATTTCTGGGGCCTGAAGAAACAGCAAAGCAGGTGCAGCAGCAGCGGTGGCAGGCCACAGACAATGACTATGTTGTGCCTATCGCTTGAGGATGCAACCTCTCATTGAGAGTCACCTTGCTTTTCTTTTTTTATTTTTAAAAATTTCTTTATTGATTAAAGTATCACATATTTGTCCTCATTCCGCCCATTCTTATCCCAAACCCCTCCCCATGCATGCCCCCATTCCCCTGTTGTCTGTGACCACTGGTTAGAGAGATCAACCTAAAGTCTTTGTGCGTGCATATGAGCCTAACCAGTGGTCACCTTGATTTTCTACTTCCTGGCTATGTGTCTTTGGTCAAGTGATTCAGTCTCTTTGAGTTTAATTTCTGGATTTGTAAAATGGGAACGATAGCAGCATCTACTTCACAGCATTGCTGTGAGGAGAAAGTTAGCATATTGCCTGGGTCATAGGAAGCCCTCAATAGCAACATTGATATTTATGTATTTCTTCACGCAAAAAAAATTACCTCTAATCTACCTGGCATCATATTAGGTTATTTCACTGGGGAGTTGTGGTGGGTTAGAGGGAGCATGGGGACTGTGATGTCTTTCTCAACCTTCAGTCCCAGGGAGACAGTGAATGATTCTTGTCAGGGAGTTATGATCCTCACTCCTCCCATCTCCTGTTACCAGCCTCTGGGATCCTCTAACACTGCCAATCATCTTCCACACAATGGCTGCTCCCTCTGCCTGGATCACCCTTCTTGCAGACATCCATGTAGTTTGTACCCTCATCACCTTGGGGCTTTTGTTAAAATGTCACTTTATTAGCTATTCCCACAGAAAATAACAAGCAAATCCTCCCTTCCAGACAATACATGCCACTGCCACTCCCTGTTTATTTGGTTATTTAGTGTCTGCAAGCTCCATAAGGGCAGGGACTTAAAAACTCCCAAGTCACCAAATGTGTGTGGTATATATATCTGTGGCACTTAGTATTTGTTGAACAGATGACTAGGAAAGGGAGTCAGAAATGCTGGTTCTCAAAGGTTCTCACTGAAGGAGAATGGCATTTGGGGTGCTCTGTAAGGAAAAGTGACTTTTATACAAAGAACAGGGAAGGGGAAGGCTGCAGGTTAAAAGCACAGTAGGAGTAAGGGCAAAGAAGCAGGAAAGTGCTTTTTAAAAACAGTGGTTGCACACCTTGAAAGACTGCCTGCAGCAAGCAGCTCTCAAAAGAGGATCAGAAGCAAGAGCCTGTTTCTCCACCAGGCCCCGCCCCCAGGGGGGCGAGGCTAGAAACAGGCGCGCAGGCGCAGTAGCGCTGCGGCGCTCTGGCCTTTGGTCCCAGAGGCCCTGCTGGCGTAGTCCGTGGTGGTCGCGGCGGAGGCGGAAGGTGGCTGTACCCCGCCCTCCCGCTGCGACTTGTCACCTTGACCTTGGAGCAGTCGCACTGAGGCAGAAATGCCGCTGTCGGACCTGGGCCTGGCCTTGCTAGGCCTGGTCCTGGGCTCCTTCTGCATCCCTCTAGGATCCGTGGCGCCAGGCAACAATTCCAAAGGTGATGCCTGTGCCCCTGCCCTGATTGTGGGGCTCTCTTCCTCCCTCCCAGCTTCCCTTCATTCTTCCCTCCCTACATTCATCCTTTAGTCTCTCGCTCCCTCCCTCAGTTTTCCCTTCTTCCCTTCCTCCTTCTTTCCCTGCCTTCCTCCTGCCTCCCTGCCTTCCTTCCTTGCTTGCTTCTATCCATCTTTACATTCATCCTTTCTTCTTTCCCTTCCACTCACTGTCTTTTTTCCCCTCTCTCCATACTTCCCTCCTTCCCCAAATTTTTCTTTCTGCTTTTGTAACTTAAAAAATATATATATATTTTATTGATTTTTCACAGAGGAGGGAAGAGGGATAGAAAGAAACATCAATCAGCTGCCTCCTGCACACCCCATACTGAGGATGTGCCCACAACCAAGATACATGCCCTTGACCAGAATCAAACCCGGGACCCTTCAGTCTGCAGGCCGATGCTCCAACCACTGAGCCAAACTGGTCAGGGCTTATTTCTTTTAACCTTTCCTCCCTCTCCCTCTTTATCCCTTGTCTCTTCCTCTCCTCTCTCATCCAGGCTTGAGGCCATGGCCAAAGCCTAACCCTACTACCTGGGACTGAGGCTTCCTCTGTGCACCAACTCTCACCATCTCTGGCTTGGTTAGCCTTGTTTGTCAAGGTGCAGGGTTCAGTTTGGGCCTTTCAGTACCCTAGCACCTACCATGATCTGGGTTCAGTGTCTGTGCAGGTCATCTCACTGAAGCTGCACCCTCCCGTGCAGATGCTTTGAATGTCCTTCTAATAATTGTGGATGACCTGCGTACCTCCCTGGGTTGTTATGGGGACAAGCTCATAAGGTCTCCAAACATCGACCAACTGGCATCCCACAGTCTCCTCTTCCAGAATGCCTTTGCCCAGGTATGTCAGGGGTCCCTAGGTATATATATATGCCTTGTGCACTGAGGGTGGAGAGGAGGGTCACCTTAGCAGTTGTTAGATAGTCCTGATTGTGCCAGGCATCTCTTTATTAGAGGGAAGGATCATCTGGAAAACGGCAGTTGTGATAACCTGGTTGTCCACTAACAAGGAAGATTGTACTTTCAAGGTTCCCCTCCTCTTTGGGCCCAAGTAATAACCTGGCCCTAAGATGCCCAGGATGGTTCTGACCAGCCTTCTTCCCCATAGGTGCTGAGAAGGAAGAGGTGCTATAGAATGGCACCCTCAGACCTGCTGGCTAACTTTGAGTGAGAGCAGCCAGCTTGCCATGGTTGCACTTCATCTCATTATTGAGGGCACCCCAGGACCCTTGTCTGCTCTGCGCACCTGTGAGATACTGTTGTGTAGGACATAATCATCTGCTGGTTTGAGGGGCTGAGTCCTTCCCTCTCTCTTTCTGGTGACTGAGTGAAACCCAATTCCCACTGGTTGGCTTTGAGATCTGCATGACTCAGCTGCCAAGCTGTTTGCTGAGGACTCAGTAGGTTGCCTGGTTACATTTGAGCTCCCAGACTTGTTTTTCTCTGATAATGTTTCCCTCTGCTTCTGCTCCCTAACAGCAAGCAGTGTGTGCCCCGAGCCGAGTTTCCTTCCTCACAGGGAGGAGACCTGACACCACCCGCCTGTATGACTTCAATTCCTACTGGAGAGTGCAGGCTGGAAACTTCTCCACCATCCCCCAGTACTTCAAAGAGAATGGCTACGTGACCATGTCGGTTGGAAAAGTCTTTCACCCAGGTACTGCTTGCTGTCCAAACTCTGGGTTATTTTTTGTTTCATGTCCAAGCACTGGGGATTCTGTCCTAGGGTTAGGTCTGTCCTTGCAGAAACCTATTGAGAATGAGTGGACACCTCATTATTCACTACTGACTTTTTATAAAATCTTAACCTGGCAGGAGTGAAAGGGGATAAAAACAGTAGAAGTAACAAAGGGTAGGAGGAGTTTCTCTTCCTTACAGAAATTAGTCATGGTGCGGTTTGATTCCTTCAGCTCATGGGGTGGAAGGACGTGCACTGGATTGGATGAGATTCTAGCTCTGTGTCTGACCTCTGTACTCCAGGGTCCTTGTCAGTAAATTGGAGATTAAGGATTAGAACATCTGAAGCTGCCCCATGTAGCCATAACTGTTGTTGCTGTCTTGCCTAAAGAAGGGGCTGCTGCTTAGGTCTGTGAGTTAGGTCAGCAAAAGCAGTGTAAGCTGGTATCTAGGATCTATAGAGTGTCAGGGGCTGCTAGTCTTGATATTCAACATGCTTGATAAACTGATTCTCTTTAATGCCAAAATGAGAATGCTGAAGCACAGACAAACTTTAAGACTTTTATTTTAACTTACAGAAGGATTGCATGATTATTGGACAGAAAGTATAAACTAAATGTAAAACACTTGTAATCACATCACCCTGTGGGGGAGCTGTATTTTGATATCCACCCTATTCTAGGCACATTGTTTTTCTGATTGGAGATTATTTATTCTGTACATATAATTTTATATCATGATTTTTTAACATAAAAATTTCCCATATAGTTACTCTTCATGCAAAGTTTTTTTTTTAATGGCATCCCAGTAGTCATTTATTCCTACTGTACTTTAGTCCAAGTTGTTTTCAGATCTTTGCTGTCCCACATACAGCTGAGATGAGCATCTCTGGAGGCAGAGTGAACTACTGATGGGCAGTGCCACCAGGAATCCAGGCCCCTCGGTTTCAGTCCCAGCTTTGCCACTTCTTAGCTGTGCAGTTGATCTTAAGCAAATCATTCACCCTCTGAGCCTCAGATCCTTCTCTGGGAAGCTGAAGTCATAACTACCTTAATTACCTAGCAGGGGAGCGTTCCAGTGCAGGTAGTTCGGGATTGTGACAGTGCATTGAAAAACCCAAGCCCTGTATAGAACACAGTGCTTATCATCAGGGGCTACTGCTTGAAAGTTTTCAGTAGTTTTCCTTTTTTCACTGCTTACATCAGCAGGATCAGCAGCCTTCATCTGGAACCCAGTTGGCCAGTCCAAGTTGAGGGTAACTTTAGGCTAGACTAAGTCAGGCCCAGTTTTGAAGGTGAATATGTCAGGAATATTTTGTGTAACCAAAAGCCCACCATCAGGAGAACGTCCTGTAGTCGGTACTCATATTATGATACCCCCTTGTCTGAGTACAGCTGGAAGGAAGAGAGAGTTTTGGGGAGATGAGGAAGTAAAGCAGAGGGGAGATTGTGTTTCAGGAAGTGAGGCGAGATATGGCCTGAGTGGTGGTGGTTGGCCTCCTTCCTCCTGATTGTTAGATTTTGGGATAAGGCTCGAAGCAGAGTGTTAGCCAGAGAATAAAATCATTGCCTGCAGTCCCTGTGGAAATACATTTTTCAACTTGTTCTTTGTTCTCAAGACCTTGTTCTGTCAGGGAAGAATCTGTCAAGGATGACAGCAGCCACCTTTGATTCAATGCTAGCTATGTACCAGTTACTGTGCTGGCTGCTCCATTAATCCTCTCCTCAACAGCAAGCAAGGTGGGTTTTTATCATAGTCATCATTTCCTGAGGAAGAAATTGAGGCTTGTTGGAGGTCAAGTAGCTTGCCCAAGGTTGCATAAATACTAAGGAGCAGTGTTGGGATTTGAATCCAGGTCTGTCAGTGTCTCTGGTCTACCCACTATGCTTCTTGTGCTGATGAGCCCCCCACCCACTGCCTACCAAATATTTCACTGTGCTGGTAATGCTCTTTCTTCTGGGATTCTGACTGCACTACCCTCTCTGCTCCTCCTGGCTAATCCCCTCAAATCCAATTGGTAGCACTTCCCCTACGACTCTTTGCAAGCCTCGTTGACTCAAAAGCCCTCACTGCAAACCACCACCAGACCCACATCACCTCTGGGCCTGGGGCCTCTCACACTTAACACAGTACTTCTACTCTAGATAGCTGGCACTGATTCCTTGGTTTCACATGTTGTTATTTTGTCTTCCCAAATAGACTGTTAACTACTGAGCTTAGGATGGGTTTATGCTTCATGAATGAGCACTGAGCCTGGAGTTCTAGGACTTGGGTTGGAGTCCTAGCTCAATCATGTAATATCTGGTTGGCATCAGGCATAGCACCAACCTTCTCTGAGCCTCATCTTCCCCCCCCCCCAAGCCAATGATGGTGTATGTGCCTTTGCCACCTTCTTTATAGGACAGGTGAGAGGCTCCAGTGAGGGCTGCAGGGCTCTGCTGCTGTAACAGATTGGCTTATCTCACCCTTTTAGGTTTCTTCTTAAGAGCCTAACATGAGTCACAAAGTCTTTATAGACTGGGAAGTCAGCTGCTTAGTGCTCAAATAGAAACCTAGAGAGAGTTGGCTTTAGGGGGATTTATCATCATGTGGCCTAAGCTCTTGATTTTATAGATTAAAAAACTGAGGCCCAAAAAGGGGAGATGATAATTCCCCAAATGTTTACAAAGTTTTAACTTATGGTAAGGAGGGCATTGAAAAACCCTTCATGTTTTATTTAGTGACTTTCTTTTTTCCTGCCCCCCTCAAGGAATATCTTCTAATCATAGTGATGATTCTCCATATAGCTGGTCGGTTCTACCTTATCATCCCTCCTCTGAAAAGTATGAAAATACTAAGGTAAGGATATGACCAGGGGTTAACTATTGTGTATGCTATACCTTCTTTTAAGCTGGTTATCCATTGAGGTTTGTGGGTTTTGTTTGTGATTATGACTTCCTGGCCTGGTTGCCCCCAATTGCTCTCCCCTGCAGGTCTGGTCACCTGTAACTGCCTCCCCTGCAGGCCTAGTCATCCCTAACTGCCCTGCCTTGCTGGCCTGATTGCCCCCAGCGACCCTCCCCTGTAGGCCTTGTCCCCCACAACTGTCCTCTCCAGCAGGCCTTGTCTCTCCTAACTGCCCTCCCTTGCAGGCCTGGTTTCCCCCAACTGTCCTCCTCTGCAGGGTTGATCCCCCCCAATTCCCCTCTCCTGCAGGCCTGGGTCCCCCCAGCTGCCCTCCCCTGATGGTCATCTTGTGGTGGCCATCTTTGACCACAGGGGGGTGGCCATCTTGTGTGTTGTAGTGATGGTTAATTTGCATATTACTCTTTTATTAGTTAGGATGTTTAACTTTTTGCAGAATTGTCAGAGTGCTTTTCAAAGTAGCTGCATCATTTAACATTCCCACCAGCAATGTATGAGAATTCCAATTTCTTCACATTCTTGCCAACACTTGTTAATTTCCATTTTTAAACATTATATCCACCCTCGTGGTATTTTTTTTTAACAAATTTTAAATTTTTATTAAATTATTATCTGTGTACATATTTTAACATTCTCCCCCCCCTCCCATATGTACCCTCCCTCCCCAGAGTTTTGTGTCCATTGGTTGTACTTATATGCATGTATACAAGTCCTTCGGTTGATCTATTATCTCCCCCAGATCTCCCGCTGTAATTTGACAGTCTGCCTGTTGTTTTACTGTCTTTATATCTATCTTTTGGTTCATCAGTTTATAATGTTCTTTATTATCCATAACTGAGTGAGGTCATGTGGTGTTTCTCTTTCATTGACTGGCTTATTTTACTCAGCATGATGTTCTCCAATTCCATCCAGGTTGCTGCAAATGAGAATTCCTTCTTTTTTTGGCAGCATAGTATTCCATTGTGTAGATGTACCATGGTTTTTTGATCCAATCATCTGCTGACGGGCACCTAGGCTGCACCCTCGTGGTATTGATTTGCATTTCCATGATGACTAAATATTTTAACCATCATTATGTGTGCTTATTGATCATTTGTATACTTACTTTGGAGAAATATATATTCAAGTCCTTTGACCATTTTTAAATGGGCTTATTGCTTTATTGAGTTGGAGTCAGAATTTTTTAATCATTAGTTTACTTGGGTTTCCTTTAATTATGATATATAGACAGAGTATTAACAGCAGGGAGGTAAGTGCTGGTGGATTTCTGACCCCTCTCTGGAAAAGCAAAAACACTTCTCTGTTTAAGTTCTACTTCCTGTGTCTCTGTCCTGAATGACTAATACTTAATGGGCTGGGTTGCTGATATGAATGTTAAATACATTGTCTATGTAAAATACATGACTTCTATTTCTTGCACTTAACAAGCTGACTTTATATATTTTTGTTTTGAAAGACATGTAGAGGGCCAGATGGAGAACTCCATGCCAACCTGATTTGCCCAGTGGATGTAGCAGATGTACCCGAGGGTACCTTGCCTGATAAACAGAGTACCAAGAAAGCCATACAATTGTTGGAAAAAATGAAAACATCTACCAGTCCTTTTTTTCTGGCCGTTGGGTATCACAAGCCACACATCCCCTTCAGATACCCCAAGGTGAAAAGCTGGCTGGGGGCTGATCCAACATAGTCATGGCAGCTGTGCTGTTTGTTAAAGAAGGGGTTTGTGTAGTGAAGGTGGCCTTGTCCTGCCATCCCTGATCACTAGGGGTGCCTGATGACACTAGTATACTCGGTGGAGTGAAGACGGGATTCAGAGGTCAAAGCTAAGTAGTAGACTTTGTACATATAAGAATTTTGTTGGAAATGCTTGGCTTTTTACTCTCCTCCATTGGAGGGTTTTATTTCCTTTCCTTGAACTCAATGAGCAAATGTTGAGTTGGTTGGTGAGATCATCATAGAGAAGCGAGTCAGAGCTGCCAAGGCCTGCAAAAGGGGATAGTCCTTGGGACACAATTCCAGGGAATGTGAATCCCTCTTCAGTAATCCCCTTTCCCCCAGAGCCTGTCAGCTCAGACTCCTTATACACACAGCACTGCATTTCTTGTTGGAACCTCAAATCCTGTTCATGCATGTATATCATTTAGAGCTTGTAATATCTTTTAAAAAATGTTTTCCCTATTATTGTTAGTTTTTCTTTACTGTGTTTTCCCTGGGCCTGAGCAGCCCATTTTTAACTCCTCATCCCTTGCTCATGAGTAGAGTTGAGACTAGAAGGCATGTTCTTTGATGCTGCTGGTATCTCTCTTAGATTGGCCCAGGGGATCTCACTTTCCTAGCAGGAGCTATCAGGTCCCTTGATGGAGTGAATCTCACTTTTGCTTTTTTTGAATAAGAATTAACCTTGCAGGCCTCACTATCATCCTTTAGAAGTTCTGCTTATAAGCTTAACCTTGGCTGGGAACCTGAATCTCTGGAGTGTTCCTACCATCCCAAGAACTGATGAGAGGGTCACTATACCTGTACTGTTTATGCAAACCCTTACCACCTTCCTGCATGACGTCTGGAAGTTTGGTATGTGTAGGAAGAGGATGCCAGGGTGACCAGCCCTAGTAAAAACCCTTGATCTAAAGCTTTAATGAGCTTCCTTGGTGGCAGCATGTCATGCATGTTATCACACAACTCATTGCAGGGGAATTAAGGACATCCTGTGTGACATCACAGGGAGAGGACTCTGGAAGCTTGTGCCTGGTTTTTCCCAGACTTCATGTGGCTTTCCACTTTGCTGAATTTGTTTGGTCTCCTTTAACTGTAATCAATCATAGCCATGAGTACGACTGTGTGCTGAGTTCCAGTGCATTACAAACCTTAGAGTGGTTTGGGGAACTGACAATACCTCTCCACACCTTTTCTAGTTGCAGTGGAGGGAGGATAGAAACAGGAGTGCATGATTTTATGAGGGAAGAGAGCTGTCACTACTCCGTCGAAAACAAGTCACAGGATTTCATTACCATTGGCATCTTGTGAGAGTGACTTAAGGTCCAACTTTCAGGTGGGGAAATGTCTGAGCAGTGTTAGTGAGTCACCATATAAATGCATCACAGGCTTAGAAAAAAGGCAGCATAAAAACTGAGAGTCTCAGTCCTGTGCCTTTGCTAAAAGAGTGACAATCTGGTGGCTTTATGTCTTTTTCCTCAAGGAGTTTCAGAAATTGTATCCCTTGGAGAACATCACCCTGGCTCCTGATCCTCAGGTCCCTCCTGGCCTCCCTCCTGTAGCCTATAACCCCTGGATGGACATCAGGCAGCGGGAAGACGTTGAAGCTCTAAATCTCAGTGTGCCCTATAGCTCAATTCCTGTGGACTTTCAGGTACTAAGAATATATTTTGGAGAAGTATGGGACACTTATGGCATGATGTCACTTTTCTCTGTAGATACTATGTACTAAGAACTTTCTCTGTGCAAAGCATCTTACAAATTGCTGGGGTTGGGAGTGGTCTGGGGGCATTTATGACATGGGAAGTGCTGGATGGATAAAGTGTTTCCCAATCAGTGTCTCCACTTCCAAAGAAAGAGGCATCTGAAGATTTGGTAACTCACTGGATGTGGGCATGGGGTGAGGAAGAGGCCTGGATGACCATCAGTAACTCATGGAGAAAGCTAATTAATCCAAGTGATAGTTCATCAGTTATAGGGTGGTGGGCAACTCCTGTGATGCCCAGAATACTCATTTTGCTGGTACTTTGGGGTCCCCTCTGAGGAAAACGCAACATGGGCCCACGTCACTCTCAGGGGGTACCTTGGTGAGCAGGGTCTTGGAGCAGAGAGAGCTGGGGCACCAACATGGCCAGTGCAATATCTGGTTTTATCAGCTGAAGGAGAAATCTAGAGTTACTCTTGGAGTCCTCGTCTCTTTCCCTTGCATGTTCCCTCCCCTGTACCACTCCTACTTATTCTTCCTAATCCTTCTCAAATCTCTACTGGCTTCTTGCTCTTTCTTCACATCTTTCCCAATCACTGCAGTGGGTCTGGATGTATTTTGTTTATTTAACAAGTATCTATTGAGCCCTTCCTGTGTGCCCAGCACTAATATAGTATAATTTTTTCTTGAGCCCCTGGAATCTTCTCTGGGCTGTTGCCTGAGGAATCTTCTCTGGGCTGTTGCCTGTAGCCCAGAATGCATCAACTCCTCACCCTAAACATCCTCAGTGCCTCCCTTTGCCTTCAGTGAGGGACCACCACTCCTTGGATGGACCCACCAGGTCTGGATCCTCTGACCTGCCTTTCAGCATTCTCTCCCACCCCCTTGTTTTATTTTTCAGACAGAGCAGCCAGCTCACTGGCCCCAAATACACCTTGCTCTGGTGACTCTGCTCCATCCTGTGCTCTGTAGCCTCTGTTTAGTGTCTTATTCCAAATTGTCTGACTGCCAGTACCTTTTCACAAATGCTAACTCTTCTGTGAGATCTTGATTTCCCCTGGCTGACATGAGGGCTCATTCTCCTATGTCATCCTTGGGCCCCAATAATAATGTACACTTTCATGTCTCCAAGCCTGTGTTCTCACTGGACAGGTGACTCATTTAGGGTAAGGACCACATCTGTTTCTTCCCTATTTCCAGCAGCTGGTATAGGAAGGCAGACATAGTCTTGAATAGGACACAGCCATCCTGACAGGTGTCTTTGATCCCCAGGAGGATTAAAGTTCCCCAAGCTATAGACTGAAGGCTTTTATCTAGTAGAAAGCTGAAGTAGGCCACGGTTCAGCATAATCCTCTTAGAAGATTGTTAGATGGATATCAGTCATTTTTTACCTCAGAGGGAGAACAGGTGAGTCTCATGATTGCCCTCACCTGGCAGTGAGAAAAGACGCCAGAAGGTCTAGCCAATAAGATGGCTGGGCACATGGTGGAAGCTGTGGCTGCTATGATAGGTCAGTGGCCCGCTTATTTCTCATCCTTGGTGGGGGTTCATCTTTTTCTTTAATATTTCTGAACAAGGATGGGAGGGGAGTCATCCAAGAAGGGGCCATGACACTCTGACATCAGTGCTGCTCCAGAAATCCCTCTTGGGTTTAGCAAGCATGGGGGGTGTGATGCTCTCTTGTCCCATCATTGCTCTCTGGCTGCTGGGGGTTTGTTAGAAATGAGCCTCACATGCCAGTCTGGGGCAATGAAGAAAAGCAGTTGCCAGTCTTCTGCTGTGTTAGAAAGTAGTCAGAGGAAAGGCCCCTCCACTCCTGTTGTTATAAGTTGAACTGTGTTCCTCAAAAAGATATTTTGGCTCAGTGGATAGAGCGTCGGCCTGCGGACTGAAAGGTCCCGGGTTCGATTCCGGTCAAGGGCATGTACCTTGGTTGTGGGCACGTCCCCAGTAGCGGGTGTGCAAGAGGCAGCTGATCGATGATCTTTCTCATCGATGTTTCTAACTCTCTATCCCTCTCTCTTCCTCTCTGTGAAAAATCAATAAAATATATTAAAAAAAAAAGATATGTTGAAGTCCTGACCCTCAGTAACTCAGAATGTGACCTTATTTGGAGTTAGGGTCCTTGCAGATGTAACAAGTTAAAAATGAATAGTCTTACTGGTTTAGGGTGGTCCCTGACTCAATTTAACTGGGAAGAGGAGAGAGATACATAGGGGAAAATTCCATGTGAAGACAGAGATGTGAGTGTTAAAGCTGCAAGGCAAGGAATGCTAAGGACTGCTGCCACTGCCAGAAGCTGGAAGAGGCAAGACCTTCTCCTCAAGCCTTCAGAGAGAGAATGACTCTGTAGATACCCTGATTTCAGACTTCTGGATTTCAGAACTGGGAGACAATACATTTTTGTTGTTTTAAGCCCTCCACTTTATCATCCTTTGTTACAGCAGCAACAGGAAATGGATACAGCTTTAAAGTATATTTGGAGTGAACCTCAGCAGAGTTTGGAGGGACTGAGGGATCAGTTTCTGTGTACATGTTCATCTCCTGGGTCCTGTAAGAGTATGTGAAGGAGACAGAAAGGAACAGTAAGTGGCACATCAATCTGCTGTGCCCTAAGTGAAAGCTGATCCCCTTAAAAAAGAATCTTACTTATAGACCTGCATAATTGCTGTGACTATGGGGTGAGGGATGTAGATAGTATAGAAATGAATGATATGTTTTGATTGAGAAAATCAAGGGCGTCAGCACAGGGGTGGGTGTTCAGGTGAATACTGTCTATGCTACAGCAATTTAAATCACAGTCACATTATTACTATTATTTTTTAATTTTGTAGAAGAAAATACGTCAGAGCTACTTTGCCTCTGTTTCCTACATGGATACACAGGTTGGCCATCTTTTGAATGCTTTGGATGACCTTCAGCTGACCAACAGCACTATTGTTGCATTTACCTCAGATCATGGTAAGCATTTAAAAATGCTCTGGTGAGTCACTCACTTGAGGTGCTTGTATGACCATCTTGTTAGTCCTGTGACCTCTCTCCATGTCTCCATGGCTCAGAGGAGCATATTGGATGCTGGGATGGTAGAGGTAGGTGGGTGGGGTGAATCTGTAGCAATCTTTTATTTTATTTTTTGCTAGATAAAGTCAGCAGGAACCCTCCACTTGGGTGGGAATCCTTTTTATCCCCCATTTCTATTATAGAGGGTTTATCTTTGGAGGATCCAGAACATTCTTGATAGAACTCAACAAGGCCTTCAGATCTGCCTTTACTCCTCCACTCCATCCTTTCTGACATGAGCCTGGGATTAACAATTATCTCTTTTAAGGCAGTTTCCCATTTTTTTTCAAAAAATAGAAACATGTTTTTTTTTTAATTTCTTTTTAATTTGAAAAATTTTAAATATGCCCAAGAGGAAAGGATAAACAACTCTTTGGTTTCCATCCATCTTCCTGCTATGCACTCATGGCAGTCTTGTTCATCTCATCCTTCCCCACACCCCACCTTTGAATTGTTTTAAAGCCAATCCTAATTGTTCAGTTTTAATAATAGAATCGCTAAAAAAAAAAAATTGGCTTTTTTGAAGTATAACCACATTATCATTACATACCTCCAACCAAAAAACCCAATAATTTAATATTATTCTATCAATAAAAAGGTAATATGCAAATTGACTGTCACTCCAACACAAGATGGTCGTGGTCAAAGATGGTCAAAGATGGGTGGTCAAAGATGGGTGCCCCCATGTGGACACAAGGTGGCCATCAGGGGAGGACAGTTGTGGGCGATCAGGCCAGCAGGGGAGGGCAGTTGGGTGGGCCAGGCCTAGAGGGGAGGGCGATTAAGGACAATCAGGTCTGCAGGGGAGGGCAGTTGGGAGTGACCAGGACAGCAGGGGAGGGCAGTTTGGTGGGACCAAGTCTGCAGAGGAGGGCAGTTGGACAGGACCAGGCCAGCAGAAGATGGAAGTTAGGGGGGACCAAGCCTGCAGGGGAGAGAAGTTGGGGGGAACCAGGCCTGAAGGAGTGGGCTTTTGGGGGGGGGGGACCTGGCCTGCATGGGAGGGCAGTTAGGGGCAATTGGGCTGGCAGGGGGAGCAGTTAGGCATTGATCAGGCTGGCAGGGGAGTGGTTGGGGGTGATCAGGTTGGCAGGCAGAAGCAGTTAGGGATAATCAGGCTGGCTGGCAGGCAAGTGGTTGGGAGCCAGCAGTCCTGAATTTTGAGAGGGATGTTTGCCCATTTAGGTCCGATCCCACTGGGATGGGTGAGGCCTAGATGGGCAGTCGGGCATCCCTTGAAGGGTCCAGGATTGGAGAGGGTGCAGGCTGGGCTGAGGGAGATTCCCCCCACCCCGGGCATTAATTTTGTGGACTGGGCCTCTAGTCTAGTATTAGAACAACAATATTAGAACATAATATGTGCTCATTGTAAAAAGGAAAAAAAAACCCACAAGTTTAGGGAGCATATCACATAGGCCCAGAGCATCCTACCCTGAGCTGTCACTGACAGATAGGGGGGCATTTGCAGTCTTTGGTTGTGCATATGTATGTGGCTATGGGTTATGTGAGTGCATTTATATAATATACTAGTAATAAAACAAGGCAGGGCTGATTGTGCTATGTGTATTATTTTGTTCCCTGGTATTTTTTTTTCATGACTTAACAATGTCATAGACAGTTTTCTGTGCCATTTTTTCACAGACCTAGCTTATGCCTTTTAAAGGCCTGTATCCCTTAAATATGGTGGTGTTGTAATTTTTCGCTATTTCCCTAATGAACTTCCATCCACTTCCGAACTCTCTTCTCAATGCCAGGTTTCCTCTTGCAGTGCTAACATAGCCCTTTGTATCCCATGATGGCAAGCCCCACTTGGAAGCACTCTTTGCTCCGAAGCATCTGCAGTTGATTACAAATTGCGCTTCTCAAAGGGCTCTCCCAGGACTTCCTACATCTGAACTCCAAAAGTCTTCTCAAATCCATGCATGACAACGCTTTTGGCTTTGGTTATTTTGTAACCCAAAATACTCAGTGTACAATCTCTGTCTTTTATGTATTTTTTATATCAAAAAGAATACTCAAACTTAAAAAGGTTGGAAATTTCCAACTTGGAGTATTCAAGTTACCTTTTTAAAGGATGTTTTAAATCAGAATTAAGAATAGTTTTTAATCAAGATTAAAGATTTGAAATCAAAAGTTATATTTTTTTAAATCTATGCTGTGTCCTAAAAGGTGGACAAGCTGTCCTTGTCTTTTTTTTTTTTTTTTTAATTTGAGTGATTGTGCTATAGTTTCACAGCTTTTTTTTTTTTTTTTTTTTTTTTTTTGGTGATACATACCCAAATGTAAAAACTAGAGGTTTGAAACTTGAATCAAGATAGGTAGGCGTAGGATAAGGCAGTGCTGATACTACAGCTGTCCGAGTCCCTGCCCAGTCAAGAATGAGCCCATCTTAGCAGGGGAGGTGGGTTTGGGAGGTGGGCACCGATCCCTTGAGTCTAACCAGAGTGCATATTGCTAGTTGCTTACTGAAAAGAAGATATCTTAGTTTGAGAATTTAGTATTTTTTTCTTTTTAAAGGTTTCCTCATTTAAGATAAATGTGGTACTTCAAATAAGTAATATTCAGGTGAAATCACCCTTTTTCTGTTAATTTTAGAGGAATTTTTTGATAGTTGATGAGTTTTTGCTTCCTCTGGTTTTTAATAATAACAGGAAATGAAATGGTGTCTAAAATGAACAAGCTATAATGTGATTATTTCATTTTCTGTCATTCTGTGCTTTTTTTATGAATCAGGGTGGGCTCTAGGCGAACATGGAGAATGGGCCAAATACAGCAATTTTGATGTCACTACTCGTGTTCCCCTGATGTTCTATGTTCCCGGAAGGACGGCTCCGCTTCCAGAGGCAGGCGAGAAGCTTTTCCGTTACATCGACCCTTTTGATTCCATCTCAGAGTTTATGGAGCCAGGTATATAATATGCTAAAATGATACAGCTTGACAGTAATAGCTTCTTTAGTTTATATAAACCACTTTACCAAATCATAGGCTAGGGGCTTACTCAGTCCACCTTCTTATCCAGTGTTGGCATTCTTACACATGTTTCCTGGGTATTTTCCATGCTCTGGGTAAGGGAGGACTGGCATGGTCAGAGATGACAATTATGGCTCCTGTCCTCAAGGAGCCATGAATGGCAGGTGGGGCAGGGCGAGGTTGGAGACAAAGGAGCAAAAGGTATCCCTAGGATGGGGAGGGTTATCTTAGGGGTGGCAGACAGCAGCAGCCTACTTCAGAGCTCAGAGGAAGTGGATTACAGATTAGGCTGATGCTCTATCTGCTGTTCCCCCCTTCCCACATACACAAACACAGATGAGCAAAACTCCATTGCCCACACACGCCTGGCAGAAACTTGGCCCTTTGTGAGAGAGAGGCATTTGCCATTTTGGTAGCTCACCAGTCTGGTGCTCCACTATACCTGTAACATTACCAGGTGATTCTCCTTCTGCCCTCCCCAACAATGACCATCAAGTTTACTTTGATTTCCATGTGCCAGTCTTTCCAAGCTTCAAAAACAACATAACCTTCTCTTATCTAGGCTGAAATTCCCAGTCCATTAACTGTTCCTCTCAAGACAGTGTTAGACCCATGGTTATCTTGGTCTCTGTCTTCCAAAATGCTCCAATTTGAGAAAGCACTGCCAGAATGTCTTTTGGACTGGATCCCCTCTCTGCCACACAAGGAGACCTGGATGGTGTTTTTGAGAGTTGTCTCATGACTTGATCTGCTCAGTGCAGAGATGAGGCATGTACTTTAAGACATTTGCTCTTTTGGGAGTCCTTTTTCTACGATTCTGCTAAAGCAGGTCCCCCCCCCCCTTTGTTTGGAGTCTTGCATTTAATCCATCTTTTAAACATCTACATTCTGTACTTTATATTGATTCCCTTTTAATTTTTTTTTTTTTTTTTTGGTCCTGGACCATCATTCTGGCCCTTTTAGATCTTTCCAAGTTTGCTTTCTACTGCTCATTTTTATTTCCTGCACATTTGATTTTCATGTGCTGCATGCTCTTCTTTCATGTCATTGATAAAAAGGTTAAATAGTTTAAAGGCATGAATCTAGCTTGTTTACTTGGAGAAATCTGACAGGTTGAAGATTTTTTAAAATATATTTTTATTGATTTCAGAGGGGGAGAGAGAGAGAGAAACATCAATGATGAGAGATAATCATTGATTGGTTGCCTCCTGCATGCCTCCTACTTGGGATCGAGCCTGCAACCCAAGCATGTGCTCTTAACTGGAATTGAACCAGGAACCCTTCAGTCTGCAGGCTGATGCTCCATCCACTGAACCAAACAGCTAGGGCAAGAATCTTTTTTGAAACTTTTATTGGGAGGTTTTTAGGCAACTTATAAACTCATAAAACTGCACTGTCATCTAGTTTATTTCCAAATCTTATCTCTAGCCTGTCCTGAACTTTGGACTTGGATTTCCAACAGATTGTCCTACCTAACCAATCTCACGTGCTCAGCACTAAACTTCTGACCTTTTACCTCAAGTGTTGACACTCTTCCATATATGATATGCAGTGCAGCAGCAAGCCTGTCACTCCCCATTCGGAATTGGTCCATTGCATTTCTCACCATTTCACTGCCATCCCCATGGACCACACTGCCACCATTTCTTGCTGGATTACTAGAATAACTTGCTAAGTTCTCCTGGATGTATCATTGCTCCCCTAGAGTTTTTCTTCCTCATAGTAGCAAAACTGATCCCATTAAAACCCAAGTCAATTTGTATTATAGCCCTGCTCTAGAGCCTCCTATGCTTTTCTGTCTTACTCTGAGCAAAATGTTCTTACAGTGGCTAAACAAGGTCTGATGTGATCTGGGTGCTCCTTATCTTCCTAACCTCATCTTTTTACAAGCTGTCTTATGCAATGGCCCTGTTTTCTCATGATGAGATTCAGGGTAAACATTTTTTAACATGTACACTACATGTGAGGTAATGTGCTCTCATTGTATCATATTTGGGCACTTTCTGGAAGCCTGTGCCATTATTAGTGATGCCAGGTTTGATCACCTGGTTAAAGTGGTCATGTCATCTAGTTCTTGCCATTGTAAAGATTATCTGCAGTCTGTTCTTTAACAGACTTTTACTCAGTGGTTTGGGCCTCCATTGATGATCCTTGTTTGAATTAATTATAAACTGGTGGCTCCAAAATTCCAGTAGTTTTTAAAAGTGTCAAGAGGGCTGAGGGCACCTTCATTTTGTATCCTGCTGTTGGGTGAGGTGTCGAGTTGGTATTGTTTCTATAATTCTTATGCTAAACATAGATATTATTAAAAAACACAGAAAACTTGTGGAGTCCAGATGGCCTCCTTTACTTATTCTGCTTTGCTGTGGCAGAATTCTGTAATGTAACCCATTCTGATGCGTCTTTTTCTCCTTCAGGACGGCAAGTCAAGGACCTCGTGGAACTTGTCTCTCTGTTTCCCACACTCGCAGGACTTGCAGGATTGCATGTTCCACCTCACTGCCCCAGACCCTCATTTCATGTGGACCTGTGCCGAGAAGGCCAGAGCCTTCTGAAGTATTTTCAACTTCATGACTTGGAAGAGGATTTTACTCTCCGTGGTAATCCCCGTGAGTCCATTGCCTATAGCCAGTACCCCCGGCCTGCAGACTATCCTCAGTGGAATTCTGACAAGCCAAGTTTAAAAGATATAAGAGTCATGGGATATTCCATACGCACAATAGACTACAGGTATACTGTGTGGGTTAGCTTTAATCCCCATGAATTTTTGGCTAATTTTTCTGATGTCCATGCAGGGGAACTGTACTTTGTAGATTCTGACCCTTTGCAGGATCATAACATGTATAATGACACCCGAGGTGGCGATCTTTCCAAATCATGGACACCTTGAGTTGTGCCAACCACAGAGGGGGCATGCATATGTGTGTGTGTGTGTGTATACACACACACACAGACACACACACACACACACACACACACACACACATACATACATATACAGTGCTCCCTTCTGGCTGGTGACAGAATGAGTTAGAGCTGGTTATTTTGTGTTTACGCTTAATATTGGAAGAGGTACCAAGGGGTATGCAATGAAAATATGCATGAATAATTTGCCTAAATTATATAGCAGCCAAACATTTTTATTTGGTCTTTATTAATTTCTAATTGTTAATTAAACTGGCGATTGGCTGATCTTTTTCTTTCCTTTTTTTGAACAGTCATAGCTTATTTATTGAATGAATATGTACATAGTAAGCAAATTAAAATTATTATACCTTTAGATATCAAGAACATAATAACCAAACATAGCACTATATTCAAGAAATACTTTGTGGAATTTAGTACATTTTGAAAAGTAAGCATATATCAAATTAGGTTTAACACTAAGTTCCTGGTTCTCTTGTTTATAATTTAACTAGATGACCAGTGCACAAAATTTGTGCACTGGGGGTGGGTTGGGGTGGTGTGTACCTCAGCCCAGCCTGCACCCTCTTCAATCTGGGACCCTGTGAGGGATGTCCAACTGCTCGTTTAGACCTGATCCATGAGACTTCTCTCAACTGCTCACCTGCCTCCTACCAGGCAGATCATCCCCTAACCACTCCCCTGCCAGCCTGATCAATGCCTAACTGTTCCCTTGCTAGCCCAATTGCCCCCAACTGCCCTCCCCTGCCAGCCTGATTGCCCCTAACTGCCCTACCCTGACAACCTAGTCACCCCTAACTGCCTTCCCCTGCTGGCCTGGTCTTCCCTAACTGCCCTTCCCTGCTGGCCTGGTCACCCATAATTGCTTTCCCCTGCTGGCCTGGTCATCCCCAACTGCCCTCCCTTGCAGGCTTGGTCCCTCTCAACTGCCCTTCCCCGCTGGCCTTATTGCCCACAACTGCCCTCCCCTGCCGGCCATCTTGTGGTGGCTATCTTGTGTCCACATAGGGGCAGCCATCTTGTATGTTGGAGTGATGGTCAATTTGCATATTACCTCTATATTATATAGCATAATTTGCCTTAGTTAGCCCAATATATCAAAAGCATTATGTCAATATGTAATCCAAGCTTCTTTTTAAAATGTAAAGTTAAATAATAATGTTAGATGCCAAGGTCTTAAAATCTTATCTTAAATTTTTGTTTCTAAGAACACAAAATTTCAAAATCCAAAGATAAAATATATATGAAGTGATTAATGTGGAATTTTTATATCAAATAATAAATAATACTCAGTAAACTAGAGGCATGAGATGTATGAGAAATTTAATTTTTTAGAGACTTTCTGACCCAAATAATAATTTGTTAGTAAATAATATGACCCATGAACCCAAAGGACATTTATTAAAAGACTGTTATATACAATGGAAACATTTAAAGGCATAACTATCCATGAATTGCATCTCCACAACCTTATTAGTGTTCTTCTTCAAGGGTGTTTTGTTGCAGGCATCCATTTATCCAGGAGCTAAGAAATAGTCTACTTTTAAATACTGATTAAAGAAAATCTTAACTTTATTAAATTCTAATTTATTTTGAGAATTGTAAAAACTTTTTATTAGTATAACATTAGGTAATTTCTAATCCTCAAAAATGTAGTTCTGTATTTCCTAAATATGAAAGTAACCAAAAATACGGGTGGGTGGTAGTGATAGACTTAGCTTATGTCATTTTAAAAAGGATGAAATATTCAAAACTCATATTTACAACATGTTGAAGCTGATTATCATTAGTCATAACAAGTCTCAACCACTTTCCAAATAAACATCTAAATTAGCCCTGTATAAAAGTGAGTAATTTTTAGTATTTCTGTTTGTATACTGCATCATTGTTTAAAGGTAAATGCTTATGAAACAAGATACAGCAAATTAGGGTAAGTTACTATAGTGTAGTAAATGATAACCAAAAAAGGCAAGATATTATATTAAAAGATTACGTCAAATCAGTAAAATTTCAGAATTTTATGAGTATCTTTTACTAAATAGCCTACAATCGAGGTATTTATGGTAACACAATGATCTTCTAAGTGATGAAGTGACTTCAGTGTTCTGGCAACAATTTCTACTTCAGGAGCGAAGGCCTTATTCATCTCCCCAATTCGGAAGCATTTCTCTCTGTGGAAGTCTCAGCTTCACACACAGATGGTTTCCCTCAGCCTTTTCTTTTTATTCTTCATCCACTTTATAGATCTTATCACTTCCACTACGATTTTTACAATCCAGTCTGTAAATTTCTCATGATATATTTTCAGTGTACTTAGCTGTATTTCCTATCTACAGTTGCAGTAAGTTTTAATGCAGTTTTATTTCACATTCATTTGTCGCTCCTGTTGATTATAATACATACACGCATCACTTTTCCTCACTTTATTTCTTGAAGCACAGTTTTATTATAAAAAAAATCTCCAAATTCTGCTTTTTTTAAAAAAATCATAAGCTGAACTATGCATTTTGGGAATAATTTACCTGCATTACCAAAGAAACATCTGGGTTTTGCATGTTAATCTGTCTTTGCTGGAAGTGCTTCTGTCTTATCTTTGCTGCATGAGTGTGTAGCCTCAGAATGCTTCAGCTACCCTTGGCCTCCCTTTACAAATCTCTCTTTTTAGAAGTTCTGCATTTCACATTCAGTGCCATACTCTGCTAAAACATTTAACAAGTTATGGTTGTTTTTTGTTTATTTGTGATACTGAACTCAATTTAGAGCCCCTTTGGTTTCCTTTTATTTATCTCTAACATACAGTGGGATGAGGAGCCACTTCTAGTTTTTAGATATGAAAGTCAACCTTGTTCCTTATCTTGACTTAGCTTAGATAAACCACATCTTTGTTGTCTCACAATTTCACTGATCAGTAGATATTTTATTAATGGTTCTCCACTCACTTTGTTTGTAGAAAGTCCCATTTCACTTGGCCAGGGATTCTTTTATACAGTTCAATTGAAACTAGAACAAGTGATCCTAGAAATTTTGAATGGTCCTATTTCAGTGGCTCACAAATATGAGGGTACATCAGAGAACCACCTGAAGGGCTTGTTAAAATCCTGTGTGCTGGGCCCTGCCTGTAAAAGTTCTGATTCAGTGCCTCTGGGTGAGGCCTGAGAATTTGCATTTCTTACAAATCATTCTGCTCCTCTAAATACCACACTTTGAGAACCACTACCCCAATGTGTGTGCTGTCCAGTAGCCACTAGGTACATGTGACTATTAATTTTAAATTAGTTAAAATGAAATAAACATTTCAAAAAGAGAATCTCAATTGCACTTGCCATATTTCAAGTGCTCAATGGCCACATGTGGCTGGTTAGTGGTCACCATGTTGGATAACACAGATCTAGAACCTTTTCGTTATGACAGAAAGTAGATTGAATGGAGCTGCTCTCCATTAACTCTGAATTTGAGCTGGATCCATGTGGTTGTTAGCAAGTTCCTCCTATGGGCTCATTCTCTACCCTGGGTTTGCCTATGAAGCCATGCCCAGGAGTGAGTGAAGTATGTTTTGTTTAAGCATAGCATAGGGAGTTCACTCTGGCAGTCAGCCTCTTTTTCTCCATTACCATGGCCATCGCCTCAGCCCTTCTCACCTCTTTCCCAAGTAGTTTGCCCGCCCTTCTTCTTTCCTCCCTCAGTCCCTAAAGAATCCATGTGTCTTCCTGAAATCCCTCTTTGATTCTGCCCTTTGAGAACACCATTAGTGCCTACTACTGGGTCTATAAAGACCTCCGCTGAGCAGTCAGAGTCTTCCCTGACTCCACAAAGCCCCTTTCCTCGGTTGACCAGTTTGTATACTGGTCCCTCACTCTCCTTTGCCAATCCCTACCTCCCCTCCACCCTTAGATTTTTCCTTCCCCCCTTCACCATCCATTCATGATCATTCTTCATACCCTACTCCCGTGCTCCCACCTACAAGAGGGTGAGGGTTTGTGACTCTCTAGACTACATCGTGGGATGAAATGAACATCACTAAAGAATCTTGTGGTCCCCTTACTTAAAAAAAAGTTATTTTCTTGATTACAAAATTGTGGTAATTAATAGAAAAATTGGACAACAGAAATATAGTAAAAGATAAAAAAAAATACATCAGTATTTTACTCCAAGATAGTCACTTAATATCTTGTCTTTTTGGGGTGTGTGAATTTTTACCTGTATATGGTTGTCATCATACTATGTGCTTTATTGTACAATTTTGTATTCTTGGTTTTCCCCCCCACTAAATATCATATGTGGTTACTACAGATTTTTGTAAAGATGCTTTGTACTGGTGGGAACATATTTTATTGGGTATTTTTTATCAATGTACACAACCTTCTTTCAGTTATTCAATGTTTAGGTTACTTCCAAATTTTAGTATTTCAAATAATGCTATGATTAACAACTTTTTGAATAAAATTTTTATGTATTTCAAATTACTCTTTTAGGATAGTCTTTCAGTGCCACATTGTCAAAAGTTTCTCTATTTTGCTATTCTTCCCAGTCTCCTGTTTAAAGAAAGAGGGCAGTGAAGCTAAAAATAAAGCAAATAAGCATGCAAATAAAAACCATGAAATCAATAAAACCTCTAAACACCCCCACCCAATGATAATAGATAAAAGTGGTATTTTATTTTACCTTCTAATTATTTGCTCATTAAAGACTTTGATCATGTTTTCTCTGTATGATTGTTGGACATCTGTATTTCTAGTATGGGAAGTTGCCTTTTAAATTGTTTTTGGGTTTCACTTTTTAAGTAATTAGACAAATTATTCTTTTCCTATGTGATGTTTTCCCTCTGTCTTTTCCTTGTTAAACCCGGAGACCTCTCTCATTGTAGAGATTGAATAAATACTCATATTCCTTTAAATTTTTGTAGTTTGGTTTTATACTTGATTTATCCTGTCTTTTCATCCCATTATCAAAGTAACACATGCTCAT